TCTCTCATGAGTGTGCTATCGTTTTTAGGTATTTTACCTCTTTGGTTGGGTTAATTCCTGGGCATCTTACAGTTTTGGGTGTAATTGTAAATGGGATCAACTCCTTAGTTTCTTGTTCTCCAGTTTCATTGTTAGTGTATATAACTGATTTCTGAGCATTGATTTTATATCCTGACACTTTGCTAAATTCCTGTATGACTTCTAGCAGTCTTGGAGTGGAGTCTTTTGGGATTTCCACATAAAGTATCATATCATCTGCAAAGAATGAGAGTTTGACTTCTTCTTTGCCAATTGGGATGCCTTTTACTTCTTTCTGTAGTCTGATTGCTGAGGCCAGGACTATGTTGAACAATGATGGTGAGAGTGGACATCCTTGTCATGTTCCTGACATTAGGGGAAAAGCTCTCAGTTTTCCCCATTGAGAATGATATTCACTGTGGACTTTTCAAATATGACTTCTATGATATTGAGGTATGTTCCCTCTCTCCCTACACTGCAGAGAGTTTTATCAAGAAAGGATGCTGCACTTTGTCAAATGCTTTTCCTGCATCTATTGAGAGTATCATATGGTTCTTGTCCTTTCTTTTATGAATGTGTTGTATCACACTGATTGATTTGTGGTTGTTGAACCAACCTTGCAGCCCAGGAATAAATCCCACTTGGTCATGGTGAATAATCCCTTTAATGGACTGTTAGAGGGAATGATCCAAATCTTTTGGCACTCAGGTTGAGACCTGGTTTGTGACCCCATATGTGATCTGTGCTGCACATCTGTTCCATGTGCAGTTGAGAAGAATGTGTTTTCTGTTGCTTTAGGATGGAATGTTCTGAATGTATCTGTAATGTCCTTCTGGTCCAGTGTGTCATTCAAAGCCCTTGTTTTCTTGTTGATCTTCTGCTTAGATGATCTGTCCATTGCCATGAGTGGGGTGTTCAAGTCCCCTACTACTATTGTATTTTTATTCATGTGTTTGTTTAATTTTGTTATTTACTGGTTTATATAATTGACTGCTCCCATGTTAGGGGCATAGATATTTATAATTATTGGATCTTCTTGTTGAATAAACCCTTAAATCATGATATAGGGTCCTTCGTCAAGTTTTTTTACAGTCTTTGGTTGAAAATCTAGTTTGTCTGATTTGGGATTGTTACTCCAGCTTTCTTTTGATGTCCATTAGCATGACAAATATTCTCCATGCCCTCACTTTCAAACTGGAGGTGTCTTTGGGTCTAAAATGAGTCTCTTCCAGACAGCATATCGATGAGTCTTGTTTTTTTTTTTTGTTTTTTTTTTTTTAATCCATTCCAATACCCTGTGCCTTTTGATTGGGGCATTTAGTCCATTTACATTTGGAGTAACTATTGAAAGATATGAATTTAGGGCCATTGTATTACCTGTAATGTCCCTGTTTCTGTATATTGTCTCTGTTCCTTTCTGGTCTCTGTTACTTTTGGACTCTCTCTTTGCTTAAAGGATCCCCTTTAATATTTCTTGCAGGGCTGGTTTAGTGATCACAAATTCTTTTAGTTTCTGTTTGTCCTGGAAGATTTTTATCTTTTCTTCTACTCTGAATGACAGCCTTGAGGGATAAAGTATTCTGGGCTGCTAAATTTTTCTCATTTAGCACTTGGATTATTCTGTATTTTGAACGATTTCCAAGAACGGATTTCTGGACAATTAGCTGACACCCGCTAAGATCCTACAGCTGGGGATTCATTCTGGTCCCCTGAGGTTACCATTTCCCTGCCTCCCTGGGGTGGGAGATTGTCATGGGGATGTGTGATTGATGGGTTAGATGCCCGTGAGCAACATTGATCCTGGTGCTGCGACCCTCTCATTTTTGGCTCCTCCCTTGGAAATTTCCCCTGGCCTGACTGCTCTTTTCTTCCAGGGTCAGTAGCTCTGAGGCTGCGAGGTGGCATCCACCACTGTGCTGGGTGGCTGGATGTGTTCTACAATGGGACATGGGGCGCTGTGTGCAGTAATGCCCTGAAGGACATCTCCTTGTCCATCATCTGCAAGCAGTTGGGCTGTGGGGAACAGGGCTGGCTAGAAAACAGGCCTGTCCACAGCAGCTTGGGCACCTCCTGGGTGGATGACATTGAGTGCCGCAGGCTGAGAAACTCCACGCTGTGGCAGTGCCCCTCATCGCCATGGCACCCGCACTCCTGTGCCCCTGGAGAGGAGGTCTGGATCACCTGTGCAGGTGGGACATGGGCGGTTTCTGAGAGCTCACCCACAGGAGCGGCTACTGATCCTGACTCAGGGCCTGGCGTCCTGTGGGTTCTACAGACTTCATTCTGAAGCTTTTCAGGGCATTTACAATGGGATGGTGACTATGTAATCCAATAGGATTGTCAGAGAAAATGACACAGGATTCCAGGGAGACCCTCAACTGCTCATCCACCCACGGCTGCCCAGGTACCCTTTCGTCCATCTCCCTGTCCACCCTTCACCTTGGTCCTGCCCGGCAGTGACCACAGCTCCCTTTTCCAGAGGAGGGTATGCTGCGTGTGCGTGGGGGCAAGGACAGCTGCTCCGGCCGTGTGGAGCTCTGGCATGCTGGCTCCTGGGGCACAGTTTGTGATGATTCCTGGGACCTGGCAGATGCAGAGGTCGTGTGCCGCCAGCTGGGTTGTGGCCCAGCTCTGGGTGCCCTTGCAGGGGCCGCCTTCGGGCCAGGCTCGGGCCCTGTGTGGCTGGATGAGGTGGGATGCCGTGGCAGCGAGTCGTCCCTGTGGAGCTGTCCTGCGGAGCCGTGGGGACTTGGAGACTGTGGACACAAGGAGGATGCTGGTGTGCACTGCTCCCGTGAGTGGGCAGGGGGCAGCGGGCCAGGCGGGGTGGGAGGGATTGCTGGGGGCTGGGGTGGGCGTTGCCAGAAGAGGTCCTTGGAATATCCCCCAAAACGTGGCCCTAAGGCTGTACCTGAGCTGGGTTCCTCTGGCTGCCTCTGTGGCTGTCCCATGCCATGTTGGGCTCAGGCTGAGTGGGACTGGGACACTTGGTTGAGGGTCTGGGCTGCCCAGGGCTGTGGCTGCCTCCCCTCCTTTGCCCTCTGATCCCTCTGATTTCTCCTGCAGGTGACAGGGGAGCCACGGCCTTGCCACCAGCACTGGCACGGACACTGGGTAGGTGTGTTCTCCCTCAAGTCTCAGCTCATGCCCTCCTGTCTGGTCCCAACTCAGAGGGGCCCTACAATGGGTTCTGCACAGAGGGGTGCCCTGGAATTTCCTATGGGTGCCAAGGCCCTAGGCAGCCCCTCCTTAGGTTGGTTGGGCCAAGGTCTGGAGGACCAGGAACACCCCTTCCTCTGAGGAAGAGGGCCAGCCTATATGGAGAGCCATGGGGTGAGATGGCAGGCCCAGGCCTTGACCAGCCACTTCTCTGGGGTCTTTCTTTTACCAGCTGGGGGGTTTGACCTGGGAACACTCTGACTCCCTTCTGGCCCCCTCCCTCCTGGTACTTCTCACTTCTGGCCCCCTCCCTCCTGTGTCCACTCCTTCCTCACCTTTGCCCTGTGACCTCAGGGCTATCTCTAGGAGAGGAGCACAAGGCCCATCTCTCCTCTGGGTGCCTTCCCCCTCCCTGAGAGGCTCAGGTGGTCCAGACCCAAGGTCACAATACCCCAGGCACACAGGGGAGACCCCACCTCTCACTGTCCCCACAGGCCACCCCTCAGCCCCTCCGCCTGCCCTCAAGACCGGGAACCTACCCATGACGTTTTGCCTTGTCCTTGGCACCCTTCTGGTCATTGTCTCCGTGGTCCTGGGGGTGCAGTGGTACCGTGGCAGAGCCCACAGTGGTAGGTGGGTGTGGCTGGGAGGGGAGCACGTGCTCTGAGGATGGGGATGCCGGGAGTGAAAACTCTGAGACCCAGCCCTTCACAGGCCCCTTCTCTCCTGGGAACTGCTCTGCGTGTCTGGTCCCACCCAGACCCCCACTGCATGGTGACTTCTCAGTGACCCCCTTGGACCCATGAGTTTCCGGGGTCAGGGAACCGTGGACCCTGCTCTGCTTCTAAGGGGTGGCCTGGGTGTAAAAACAAGTCCCCAGGGGTGTCCCGATTCCTTATGCCATCTGTCTGGTGGGGTTAAACAGCCATTGGAGCCCAGGGAGACATGTGGCCCCTTGTGGGGGATGTTGCTCTTGGCAGGCCAGGCTGCATGGGAGACCCCACAGGGCCAGCAGGGGTTGGGCTCAGATGGAGGGAGGGTCTCTTCTAGGGAGCTCTGGTGTGGCCTTTGCAGGTTCCAGAATGTTGGGGAGTCTGGCCTCGGAAGCTGTTTATGAGGACATTGGAGCTGTCCCCATGGGGGAGAAAGACGAGGGACCCAGAGTGTCCCAGAACCTGGCCCTGGAGGAGGAGTATGACGATGCAGGGGAGCCGGAGCTGGGCCCCGAGGAGGAGGAGGAAGAGGAGGAGGCACCCCTGAGCCCCACCGGTGTGCACCTCTGCATGCTGGCATCTGTCGCACTCTTCCTTCTGTACTGCTCCTATGTGCGGGGCTCTGCTCTGGCCAGTGCCTACATTTAAAGACCCTGAGAGCTGTCTGCCCGAGTGTCCATGTCCCTCACTCCTGCGCCACAGGCTGGGATGTCCCTTCAGAGCTGCTCCCTAGACAGGAATCTTCTTGTGGGGGATGTGGAGTTTAGAGAGGGTCCTGCAGTTTTCCTTGGGTTTCTTTTCATGGCTGCCCCCAGGGTCCCTCTAGTACCTTGTCCTGTTCGGTTGCAGGGGGCCTGAGCAGACAGGGTGGGAGGGGATGCAGTGTGACCCTGGCTCACCCCCTCTAGTCCTTGTCTGGCCTCTGGTTTCAAGTGACACACCAGGGCCCAGAAGTGGTGGGGGCTCGGAGGGGTGGCCAAGGGGCCCAACGTGCGTCTTTCTCCTTCATCACAGGTGGGGCTCCTTGTAGTCTCGGCCCCAAACCTTGGCCTGAGACAGAAGACACAGCATGCCCTGGGACGTGATGACAGTGAGCTGCCCATGGCGACATCAGTGACACTAGGGGGGGATTGGGGGGAAGCCCAGGCCCTGGGGGGCTTTCATTGTCCTCACTTCAAAAGGAGATGTCATTAAAGTCCCTCTGAACTCACTCATTCATGCTTTAATTCATCTCAGGAACATTCCTCAGAACACCTCTCCCAGCCCAGGTGCAGGTCTCAGCTACCCCCTCTTGACCGTGGTCCGGTGTGGGCGCGCGTTTTCCACGATCCGCACCTGCAGCTTCCTGCTCATGTGGGTCTCGGGCATGCATCGTCGGAGTGGGGCCCCGAAGAATCAGCTCCTGGAGCGCCGCCTCGCAGAGGGCGCTGGAACCGGCCCACGTGTTCTACAGTGTCAGGGTCCCCAGCACTCACAGAGGGGCCCAGCCCTTTGTGACCACACCCACTCTGGCCACAGCCTTCCACCCTCACTCCCTCCCCACCCCTCCCCACCCCACTCCCACACCTTCCCTCCCTGACACACCCTCCCCAACCAGGTCCCCGACCACACCCCTGGCCACATCCTCCCTGACCACACCCCTACCACGCTCTGACCACACCCTCCCTGACCACACACTCGACCACGCCCCTGGCCACACCCTCTGCATCCTCACGCTGGATATCCCCGGGGCCTGGGGGGTGGGGGAAGGTGTGCAGCAGGAGTGCGTCCCTGGGGTCAGGAGGGAGAGAAGGGAGCTGGCAGGAAGTGGGGACATCCCTCTGGGGTCTGGGCAGGGGACAGGGGACCTGGAAGACGGAGAGCAGAGTAAAGGTGTCAGCTGAGCAGAGAGCGTGGGGACTTAGAGGAAGTGTGCAAGGTTCCCCTACGTGTGCCGCACTTCCCCAGTGCTTAATGCTGCCCGGGCTGGACGGCGCCCCCTCCGGCTGTGTGTCGAGCTCTCTCCCAGGGGCCCCCGCCCTTTCAGTCCCTTTGTAGGGTTCTGATTAGGCGGCTTGTGAGTGAAGTGCATTGGGGGACCCACTCGAAGCAGCTTCAGGTCCCTGGTGCCCTGAGCCCCGAGCTGGGGGTGCCGCTTAGTGCTGGGAGAGGCTGTGGCTCTGGAGCTGCTGCCCAGAGGGTCCTGTGGATGGGGTCCTCCTGCCCTCTCCAGACTCTCCTTGCCTCCACCATACTGTCTGAAAACCTGAGCAGCCCTCTCGAAAACTGGTCATCTGGCGAAGCTTTTGGATAGCAGCCGTTACTGATCTGATTCTGTTTATAAAATAATATGCGTTTCTTATCGCAAATGCAAAAACCTATAGAACCAAGAAAGAGGTTGGAAAACACTTGTTCTACACTCAGAAATGAATACCTCGGCATCCTGGTCGACATCCACGAGACCTTTTCTTTGCACTGATGCACAGCTATGAGTATGGTTAACGCGATGCATGGTCTGTGTCTTGCGTGTTTCCCACCTGAAACGTGCAGACATGCCTGTGTTAACGTGTTCGATGTCTGCCTAGTATCCCTCCACACGTGTCTTCTATCATTTATTCCCACTCTGTTGCCCTTGTGACTGCTTTCCGAAGCCCCTGTCCTCACAAAGAGAGGTGTGCGCACCCTTCATGATGGCTGACCACAGTCATGCATTTTTTAAGGGTTCGGAGCAGATTGCTGTCTGTCCACAACGGCCCGGGAGCTTGGATTGACCTTTTGCGTGGGGCAAGGGAAGGTGTGGCCTCCAGGAAGCCTCCAGGAGCCTCACACCTGGGTGTGTGGGAAGCCCAGCCCAGGCCTCCCCACCTGCCACTGGTGCTGTGTGGGTGTGGCAGGGTGGCCCTGGGCGGCTGAGAGGTGGGCGGCGCTTCCTTCCGGAACTGCTCCCTGCCGAGCTGCAGCCCACCTCTTGCAGGGGCATGGGGCCCCCTCTCCGTGCCCGGGGGGCTGCAGCGGTAGGAGACCCCTCCTCCTGGCCTGTTGGATGCCCCCCTCCAGGTGAGTGTGCTGCTGTCCACAGGGCTCTGGGCTCCAAGAGGTCCCTGAGCGGAGGGGACCACAGCACCTGGGCCCCAGAGAGATGGGCTGTCTCAGCCCATTGCAGGCAGAGTGAACCGTCTGTGTTCACGTGAAGAGCCGAGACCCTCACTCTGTGGAGATTCCTCAGAAAAGGGTCCTTGGGCGTTCATTTTTGCTAATGCTTTAATTTCTTAATGTCATCGACACCATCAAAATAAAGAGAGTTTATGCTGAGTGAAATAAGTCAAGCAGAGAGAGTCCATTATCATATGGTTTCACTTATTAGCATGGAGGACAAGGGGAGTTGGAGAGGAGAAGGGAGTTGGGGGAAATTGGAAGGGGAGGTGAACCATGAGAGACTGTGGACTCTGAGAATCAATCTGAGGGTTCTGAAGGGGCGGGGATGGGAGGTTGGGGGAACCAGGTGGTGGGTATTGGAGAGGGCACGGATTGCATGGAGCACTGGGTGTGGTGCAAAAACAATGAATACTGTTATGCTGAAAAAAAAAATAAAGTGTGAGCAAACTTAGGAAAATTGAAATTAAGGATCCAAATTGAGATGGAAGGTGAATATTTGATCTTTAATATTTGAAATTTCTGGGCAAAGGGTCCTTGAGTGCCTTTTTGCCATGTACAGTTTTCCTGTGCTCTTGCTCCAAAGGCCGTGTCTGGGGGTCACTGGGGCTGCTGGGGGGGCAGACACCACTGGAAGGCCCTGGTGCATACGCCCCCCCCAACCCCCACAAGGGTTCTGAGGGCCCTGGTCGGGCTGTGACTAGGCACCAGGGTTGAAGACTGACCAGGCGATGCACGTTCCAGTCAGGCACGCAGTCCCGGCCTGGGGAAGGGGCCCTAGGCCCCCAGGACAGAGCTGAGGGTGCTGTGTTCATCTATCCCTGGCTCCCACGTGGCCTGAGGAGGTGGGAAATGAGCCTTTGCTGTCACAGTCTGAGTGGGGCTGGGACCTGGGAGACGCTGAGGGACGAGACGGTCCTCCTAGTCCACAGGTCACCCCACGCCCAGAGTTCCAGTGCTGGCTTAAGGACCCCTTGGCCCATCGGGGCTGTGCTGGGCCAAGGGATCCTGGTCGTCGTGTGTCCTTCCTCCCTTTGGGCCTGGAGGGTGGGGCAGTCGGTCACTTGTTCGGAGGCCTGCCAAACGTCTCCCCTGCCCTAGATGGACTGTTTCAGTTCACTGTCCTCCCCAGGCTACGTGGAGGCCCAGCTGGGGTGCGCCGGGCACCCCCGTGCCAGCGTCTGGAAGTGAGGTGTGGCCTGACCTGGGGCACTGTCTCCAATGCCCACCTGGACCGGGCCAAGGCCCACATGGTGCGCCGGGAGCTGCAGTGTGGCTGGGCGGTGTCCACGCCTGGGGGCGCCCAGTTCAGCCAGGGCTCTGGGCCTGTGTGGACGGAGGCCTTCCATGGTGCAGGTGTCTCTGCTGTCCCACTGCCCTTGGGGGACGGGGCAGCAGCGTGGGCACCGCCCAGATGCTGGGCTCAGATGGGAAGCAGGAAGATCGTGTTTCTCTCAACGTGAAGGGAATTGTTCTCTCACTTTCCTTTGGTGTTGTTCATCGCTGCTATGTAGAGGTTCAGCTAATTTTTATGTATTGATCTTGTACCATCAACTTTCCTGAATTTATTTAATGGTTTCTTTTTTTAGGATTCTGTAGGTTTTCTACATAGACGATCATGTCTCTGTGAATATGGATATTTTACTTGTTTTTCCCATCTGAATGCCTTTTTCTTTTTTCTTGCCTCATTGTTCAACTAGAGCTTGCATCCCGCCGTTGACTGGGAGCCGCGGGGTCCCGTCTGCCCCCGCTGTGAGGGGAGCTTGCTGGCCACCGCCGCTGAGCCCCGTGCACGCTGTGGGCTTTTCACGTCCCGCCTGGGTGGTGTTGAGAAACGCTCCTTTCCTTTCCAGTTGAAGTGTTTTCACCTGCTGGGCGGCTGGGTGGTGTCGGACACCCTTTCTGCCTCAGTCTGGACGCTCACGTTCCGTTGTCTACCTTATGAGGGAAGCGGACAGTCTGGGCTGGGCTTTTCTTTGCTCAGAGATTTTGTTTTACTCATTCATCCTCTTTATTTTTTATAAGTCTGCTCAGATTTTCTGTTTATTTTGGTCAATTTTGGTAGTCGGTGTTTCTGGAGATCTGCTCGTTTCATCTGAGTTTTGTCGTGTGCTGGCTACTGGTTCACTTCTGTTCTGTTGGGATGGAAAGCCTCCACTTCTGTTTCGGATTCTAGGAACTTGAGGCTTTTCTAATGTTTTCATGGTCAATCGAGACAAATGTGAATTTTATTTACCTTTTTAAAAAATATTTTATTTACTTAACAGGGAGAGAGACAGTGAGAGAAGGAACATAAGTGGGGGAGGGCAGAGGGAGAAGCAGGCCTCCTGTGGAGCGGGGAGCTGGACCGGGGCTCCATCCCAGGACCCCGAGATCATGACCTGAGCTGACAGCCAGAGTCAGATGCTCAACCGACTGAGCCACAAAGGCGCCCCTGGCTTACACATTTTCCAATGAGAAATCTGCTTGCAATTTTTTATCTTTGTTCTTTCCTGTGTGACTTTTCTTTACGCCTTTAATTCCTCTTACGATTCTCTATTGATTGTCAAGCATTTCATAATGGTGAGTTTTGATGTGTTGCTGTGTGTTCATGCTGCTTGTGGTGACTGTTGAGATTCCTGTATCTAGAAAATCTTTGAAAAATTTTTGACCAATTTTCTTTGTTGTTTCCACCCCCCCCACTCCGGTTTTGGAAATTCATTTACATATCTGACAGATGGCTCAATATTCCCTTATGGGTCACCTGAGATGCTCATTTTTCAATCTATTCTACTTCACCTAACTTTTCTTTTTTTTTAAGATTTTATTTATTTATTTATTTATTTATTTGTCAGAGAGAGAGAGAGAGAGAGAGTGAGCTCAAGTAGGCAGAGTGGAGGCAAAGGCAGAGAGAGGAGCAGGCTCCCCGCTGAGCAAGGAGCCTGATGCAGGACTCGATCCCAGGACCCTGGGATCATGACCTCAGCCGACGGCAGCAGCTTAACCACTGAGCCACCCAGGCGCCCCATGCTTAACTTCTTAACAATTTAAATTCAATTAGGCAGGTATAGCACATCATAGTTTTTGATGTAGTGTTCAGCGATTCATTAGTTGTATACAACACCCGGTGCTCATCACACGTGCCCTCCTTAATACCCAACACCCTGTTACGCCCTCCTCCAACCCCTATCTCCTCTGACCCTTGTTTGTCTCCTGGGGTCCAGAGTCTCTCATGGTTCATCTCCATCTCTGATTTCCCCCGCTTCAGTTTTCCCTCCCTTCCCTTATGGTCCTCTGCTCTATTCCTTATGTTTCACATATAAGTGAAACCATATGATAATTGTCTTTCTCTGACTGAGTTATTTTACTCAGCATAATCTCCTCCAGTCCCATCCATGTTGATGCAGATGGTGGGCATTCATCCTTTCTGATGGAGGCGTAATACTCCATTGTATATATGGACCATATCTTTTTTACCCATTCGTCCATTGAAGGATGTCTTGGCTCTTTCCAGTTTGGCGACTGTGGCCATTGTTGCTATGAACTTTGGGGTACAGATGGCCCTTCTTTTCACTGCATCTGTATCTTTGGGGTAAATACCCAGTAGTGCAATTGCAGGGTCACAGGGTAGCTCTATTTTTAATTTCTTGAGGAATCTCCACACTGTTCTCCAAAGTGGCTGCACCAGCTTGCATTCCCACCAACAATGTAAGAGGGTTCCCCTTTCTCCACATCCTTGCCAACATTTGTTTTTCCTGTCTTATTGATTTTTGCCATTCTAACTGGTGTGAGGTGGTATTTCATTGTGGTTTTGATTTATATTTCCCTGATGGTTAATGATGTTGAACATTTTTCATGTGTCTGATAGCCATTTGTATGTCTTCATTGGAGAAGTGTCTGTTCATATCTTCTGCCCATTTTTTGACATGATTATCTGTTTTTTGAGGGTTGAGTTTGAGGAGTTCTTTACAGATCTTCTTTATCAGCCCTTTGTTTATAGTGTCATTTGCGAATATCTTCTCCCATTCCGTGGGTTGCCTCTTTGTTTTGTTGCCTGTTTCCTTTGCTGTGCAAAAGATTTTGATCTTGATGAAGTCCCCAAATTTCATTTTTTCTTTTGTTCCCCTTGCCTTTGGAGACATGTCTTGAAAGTTGCTGTGGCCAATAAATACCTGGTTAAATAAAATTACTTTATAAAATAAAAAAATTATAAAGATCTGTAAATGCTATGACAAATAGCTATCCAGTATTTGTTTAGCAATGCACAACAAAAATTTTCTGGTAGAACATCAAAGAAAAAGTTAACAGGGATTACTCTGGGGAGAGAAATGGGGTGTGTGTGCAAGGTGGAGGGCATATCCAGGGAAGACCAAGGATATGTTGGAACCGTTTCCACTGTCTTCATGTAACAGTTTGCAGTGATGATAAATACATATCTACTCTTTCACAGAAGAATTGGGAAAAATTATTCAAGGTTAATTATAATCAGATCTTTTGCTTGACTGTCCTATCACACTGAGGTGATGTGCTAAATTAGGGATCTTCACAGCTTTATGTGGTAAAATAGTTACAATTTAGAAATACGAGTAAGTGCTTGCAAAATTGGGCGATGAATTCTAAGTGGCTAAAGTGCCCAGAGGGAGCAGCTGAAGCCATTTTGATGTGCTGAGTCGCCAGCGGCTAGTGCCAAGCAACATTCTGTGGTCAGTTCATTTGTCTCCTGGAGTCAGGCAAGATGAGAATGACAGAAATTCAGATGCTGGCTGGCTGGTTGGAAACATTCATGTGATTACTATTTTGAGAGGATTTAGAAGAACTCTTTTCCCTATGATACTGTTTTCAGCACTCAAGGATAGTGTCACCATTCAAAGCAGCCTATGGTCTTCCCACAGCCTGACTGTGCTGCCAATGGTGTATCCAGGACCTGGTCACGGGGGGGACCCATGTACTGTGTGGTGTCTCTTCCATGGAGCCTCTGGGAACTGCCTGTGGCTGAGCCATGCCATAAAGAGGTGACCCATGGCCTACAGACCACCGGCGTGTTCTGGGGGACTACAACACAGCCCAGCTGGCTAAACTACCCATATTTACTAAAAATGGTACCTCCAAAAACTCAGATTATGATACTGACAACTTTTCTTTTTTAAAAAAGTATTTATTTAGATTCTATTTAGAAAAATATATATATGCTGTATTATTAGTCTCAGAGGTAAAGTTCAGTGATTTATCAGTTGCATACAACACCCAGTGCTCGATACATCATGTGCCCTCCTCAGTGCCCCTCCCCCAGTTACCCTGTTCCCCGCTTGCCCCCTCCAGCAAACCTCAGTTTGTTTCCTGGATTTAAGAGTCTTTTATGGTTTGCCTCCCTCTCTGTTTTTATCTTATTTTATTTTCCCTCCCTTCTCCCATGATCCTCTGTTTTGTGCTTAAACTCCATATATGAGTGAGATCGTATGATAACTGTCTTTCTCTGACTGACTTATTTTGCTCAGCATAACACCTTCTAGTTCCATCCATGTTGTTGGCAAGATTTCATTCTTTTTGGTGGCTGAGTAATATCCCATTGTATATCTATCACATCTTCTTTATCTGTTCATCTGTCGATGGACAAATGGGCTCTTTCCATAGTTTGGCTGCTGGGGACATTGCTGCTATAAACACTGGGGTGCAGGTGTCCCTTCAGATCACTATGTATCTTTTGGATAAATACCTGGTAGCGCTATTGCTGGGTCACAGAGAAGCTCTACTTTTAACTTCCTGAGGAACCTCCACACTGTTTTCCAGAGTGGCTGCCAGCTTGCATTCCCAGCAGCAGTGTAAGAAAGTTCCCCTTTCTTCCCATCCTCGCCAACACCTGTTGTTTCTTGTGTTGTTAATTTTTTTTGTGCTGTTAATTTTAGCCATTCTGATCAATGATACTGGTATCTTTTTATTTTATTTTATTTTTTCAGTGTTCCGAGATTCATTGTTTATGCTCCACACCCAGTGCTCCATGCAATCCATTTCCTCCTTAATACCCACCACCAGGCTCACCCAATCCCCCACCCCTCCCTTCTAAAACCCTCAATTTGTTCCTCAGAGCCCACAGTCTCTCATGGTTCATCTCCCTCTCCGATTTCCCCCAATTCAATTTTCCTTTCTTATTCCTAACGTCCTCCACTATTCCTTATTCTCCACAAGTAAGTGAAGCCGTATAATTGACACACTCTGCTTGACTTATTTTACTGAGCATAATCTCCAGTCCCATCCACATTGATACAAAATTGGGTATTCATCCTTTCTGATGGCTGAGGAATATTCCATAGTGTATATGGACCACATCTTCTTTATCCATTCATCCATTGAAGGGCATCTTGGCTCTTTCTACAGTTTGGTGATTGTGGCCATTGCTGCTATGACAACTTTTCTTTAAACAAACAGGATATGAATTAGAGGAACAGAGGAATTTCATTGAGGGGTTCCTGTAGCTTTCTCTGTGTTGAGGAAGAATATCAGATCCCATGATGGGCACATAGTGGGAGACAGGGAAGTCTTGATTTTATCCTGAGTCAGGTGTACTCACACCTCAGCTTATGAAGCATCCCCCAGGGAACCTGTTAAAATGCAAATTCTGATTCATTAGTTTTTTAAAAAATCTTATTTATTTATTTATTTATCAGACAGAGAGAGAGAGAGAGAGAGGAACAAAAAAGGGGAGGGGCAGGCAGAGGGAGAAGCAGGCTCCCTGCTGAGCAAGGAGCCTGATGTGGGACTTGATCCTAGAACCCTGGGATCATAACCCGAGCTGAAGGGAGACGCTTAACTGACTGAGCCACTCAGGCACCCTTCAGTGATTTAAAATTTTTTTTTATTTGTTTATTTAAGAGAGAGCAAGTGTGAGAGAGGGAGAGCAAAAGTGAGCACACAAGCAGGGGAGCGGCTGGCAGAGGGAGAGGGAGAAGCAGACTCCCAGCTGAACAGGGAGCCTGATGCAGGACTCGACCCCAGTACCCCGAGACCATGACCTGAGCCAAGGTAGATGCTTAACTGACTGACACCCAGGTGCCCCATTATTTCAATATTTTTATAAATATGGCAATGTTTACCACCTACATATATTCATTTCCAACTTGTTTTTCTTCCTGACATTATGCTTTTATTGTATGTCCCCATGGATGAAACACACCCAACAGGAAATTCCATGTGTGACGTATTTCCACATTAAATGTATGGATTCGGGATGATAACCCAGGTGCGGTAAATCCACGGCTCGCTTCCTCATGTTCTCACTGATGGGCATTTAGGCAGTTTCCACTTTTTGCTACCACACGAAGTGATGGAATGAACAACTGTGAGCCCGTGTCCTGTGTCTGTAGGCAGGGGCACCCAGCAGGGAGACTGTCGCAGAGTGGAGTTTGTGCGTCTTCATCTTTGACAGATGTGACGAGTCAGAGGCGCTGTGCACCATTTGTCATTTATTTACCACCTCTTGTGCTCCAGGTCCCGTGTTTTGTGAGGATGCAGTGGTGTGCAAAATCCAGAGCCCCTTTCTTAATGAAACCCAGTGTGACAGATATTAATTACGTAATCGATTGAATGATTAGCTGTGAGGGAAATAAGAAAGCACTAGGAGAGCAGATAGTGGAGAGACCTAACTCAGGCTGGCTAGGGAAAAACTACTCAGGATTGAATGTGCAGCAAGGGTGTGAAAAGAGCATGTGTTAAGCAGTAAATAGTGTCCCATGTGGAAGGAGCAATGTGCACACAAGACTCGAAGGGGGTGTTGCTATGGCTCACAAGGTTCCTGTCGCGTCCCTGGGCCAGGGATTCCAAGGCAGTCATTGCACGGGACGGGGGAGGGCGTAGTCAGTGCTCTCCAGAGAAACCACCAATAGGAGGTACACGTACTTTTGGACTTGTGGTCATCTGTATCTGTATCCACACACATACACACACATATATAACATGCACATATATACACATATGCACATGTAATTACACACATGATATGATACAATATGGTGTGCATATATGTATGTATTTACTTATGTTCATATATACATAGATTTGGAGGTTTATTATTGGGGAGTGGCTCATGCATTTATGGAAGACAAGAAGCCCCACTACCAGCTGTTTGTAAACTGTAGAACCAGAAGAACTGATGGAGTCGTTCAGTCCAAGACCAAAGACTTACAAACCAGGGACAATTTGTAGTACTCTTCTGAGTCCGATATCCAAGGAAGCAAACCTACCCTTCCTTCCCTTTTTTGTTCCATCTGGCCCTCAGTGCACTCATGATGCCCACCCCCATTGGTGAAGAAGATCTGTGACCTTCTTTACCCAGTTTGTCCATTTGGATGCTAATCTCTCCCAGACACATCCAGAAATAATGTCCGACTGGCTGTCTGTGTGTCCCAGAACCCCATCAGGTCAACACATAAGATCCACCATGGCAGGAGACTCCTCCTCTGCAATCTGGATCTGAGATCCATGTGGCCTGAGCAGAGCTTCGGGTAGTTTTTCAAGGGCATTTCGTTTGTTTGTTTGCAGGGGCATTTATGATGGAGAGGAGCTGGCTCCCACCTCATGAAAGTCAGCAAGACACAGATAGAGACTCTGGTTTGGTGTGCGGTCCCGGGGTCTGAGAAGTAACCAACACATCCATTGTACCTTACTGTGTATTATATTCCAGGAACTCCAAACTTTCAGGGACAGGTGGGCAAAAGCCACAAGTCACTTCGATGTTAGAGAGAACTCATAGAGGAATATTTTCTCAATAAAGCTGTGCTTTGAGTCACATAGAAAGAGGGTATTTATAACAGGTGGGATACATCTCATAAGGGTCAGTGGCCAGAGACCAACAAAGAACACAACTTTAGAGACTGCCAATTTACAGGTTTTTGACCATGAGTATCAAGACTTTCCTGAGGGCTGCCTTGACATCCTTGTTCTTCAGGCTGTAGATGAGAGGGTTCAAGGTGGGGCTCACTGTGGAATAGAGTACAGCCATCACCTTGCCCATCCTGGGGGAGTAGCTGGAGCCGGGGCTCAGATAGGTGTAGATGATGGTGGAGTAGTACAAGGTGACCACGGCAAGATGGGAGGAGCAGGTAGAGAAGGCTCGCTGCTTCCCCTCAGCTGTGCGAATCTTCAAGATGGTGGCGATGATGAAGCCATAGGACACCATGGTGAGCAGGAAGTTCAGCATGGCAAAGAAGATGTCGGCCATGACTGCCATGATGTCATTCACATATGTGGAGGAGCAGGAGAGTAACAGCAGAGGGGGTATCTCACAGAAGAAGTGATCAACCACGTTGGGGCCACAGAAGTTCAGCCGCAACATCAGGCAGGCATTGACTCCAGCTCCTAGCACGCTGATGCCCCACACGGCTCCAGCCAGCGCGGCGCACACCCCGGGGCCCATCATGGAGCTATAGTGTAGTGGCTGGCAGATGGCCACGTAACGGTCAGAGGCCATAGCGGCGAAGAGCAGCACCTCCCCGGCCACTGACCACGACAGGAAGTACATCTGGGCCACGCATCCTCTGTAGGAGATGCTTCTCTTCTCTGCCACCAGGATCGCGAGCAGCTTGGGCACCACAGTGCATGCACAGATGATGTCTAGTGCAGACAGGTTGGCCAGGAAGAAGTACATGGGCGTGTGGAGCCTGGAGCTGAAGGCGATGGCCACAATTATGAGGGAGTTGCCACAGAGGGCCACGGCGTAGAGGCAGAGGAAGAGGATGAAGTAGAGGACCTGGAGCTGTGGCCCTTCCGAGAAGCCCTGCAGGATGAATTCTGTCACCTGCGTCTGATTCCTCGTGGCCTTTGACCGTCTGTTCAAGCTCTTTCCTGCTCGGCAGCTGGGCTGGAAAAAAGTGTGTGGACTTAGTGGTCTAAGTATGGAATAAGTGAATATGCCAGACTCTCCCAGAATTCAATACTTTCGTGTTTCATTAGACTCAGACATCACCAGCTAACAAGCTCCTCTCAGGAAAATGGGCGGGTGTGCTCACCCTTGCTCCCTCCTGCCACCACTGCACCCGGGACCACCTGCCCACAAACACCCCACCGTGGCACGACAGCCTCCCACAGTGGTCCCCCGACCATGCCATGTCCCTGTGAGAGCCCTTCAGGAGATGATGCCCAGTGTGCACGGTGGGCCTGAAAGTGTCTGCATGTCCTGTCCTGGCCCGGGAGTACCCTGCACCACCCCCGTTCTTTCCCCCTCCACCCCTTCCTCTGCCCGGTCCCCCCGGGTCCCTTCACATCCCTTGATGAGCTGCCCCAGACATGAGGCAGTGGACATAAGTGGATGTCACTCCTGACATGGAGCCTGGGCTCCACTTAGGGGGACAGAGGATGATGGAGGCAGGAGGACAGGAGGCAGGGCCGGTGGGAGACCTAAGTCACCGGGGGGGATGAACATGAGGTCCAGGCTGGGAGGTACAGTCGGGACCAGACTGGGATGGTTAGAGGTGATACAGGCGTTCTTGGAAGCAGGGAGGATCTTACAGGTTGAGGGTCCAGGGCAGTCCCACCAGAAGCGAGCAGAACAGAAGGTTTTCCTGAGGGCAGTATTGCTGATTCTATCCCAGTGACTTCCCCGTCCTAGAAAGGGGGCATCCAGTCCAGGGCAGGCGTCAAAGAGCCTGATGGCAACTCCCAGCTGCTTCTGCAGGGGTGACCTTGTGCATAGCCCTTATTCCAGCTGGTTTTGTGTTGGCACATCAGAAATTAGCACGATTGCTGCTGTATTTTATATTCCTCAGTCATGTTTCTTGTATGAAAACAGACACAGGGTAACATTTCAAGGATGAACCTGTAAATGACAAGGGGATATGTCGGGCTCATTGAGAAGGCAGGCACACAGTCACACAGCACATAGAGTTATCGTGGTCCTGTGGTCAGGACCGCACCTGGCCACAAGCACACTCCGCGTATCTGCAGACACACTGGCCCTTCTCAGACGGCCAGCAAGGGACTTCTGAGAAAGCCGTGCAGCGGTTGCATGACAGTGTTACTACTGAGTGGGAACATCTTCCAACCGAAGCCCAGGTCAGCCTCAGGGGAAGTCCACTGGGAGCCAGAGACAGCCCAACTCTGTGTGCCTGCCACTTACATCTGTAAGTAAAGCACCTTTTTAAGGGTTCCCACCACAAATGAGTGACAAGTTGTATCTTCACTGTTTTAATTTTGACTTTGTACTACAAAGGTACAGACCTGCCCCAAGTTCACAGGGGCAACCCAGACTTAAGAAAACTATCTCTGGGGGCACCTGCGTGGCTCAGTGGGTTAAGCCTCTGCCTTCAGCTCAGGTCATGATCCCAGGGTCCTGGGATCGAGTCCCACATCGGGCTCTCTGCTCAGCGGGGAGTCTGCTTCCCCCTCTCTCTCTGCCTGCCTCTCTGCCTACTTGTGATCTCTGTCTGTCAAATAAATAAATAAAATCTTAAAAAAAAGAAAAATATCTCTGCTTGAAATATCACGTGTGACTGGGTCCCCAGCATCGTCATTTTTACAACCCCAAGAGACCTTCATGCTGGAAAGGCAGGCATAGGGGAAGCCACCCCGTCTTCTGAAAGAGTCTGTCAATTGCTCGTGTCCTGTGCAGTCATGTATTAATAGGGGCACTCTTGAAAGTGTTGTTAAATACACCATTCTGGTGACTGGACCCAAAGTCAGACCCTCTCAGGCTTTCCCAGTCCAGAAAAGAGAACACTGCACAGAGCACACTGTTCTGTGGTTGCCCTTGGCTTGGGCTGTGCTGTGAGCATGTGGGGCCTGCGAGGAGCAGAGAGGTTGCAGTCGGAGCGTCAGAGGAGAGCCGTGGGAGCACAGAAGCATCCTAAGGAGAGCCATGCTCTCCTTCCCCGTCACAGTCTGAGCCCGGACACTGTGTGGTCAGCAGTCGGTTTAAAAACTTGATGACATGGCAATTTATTATAACAATATGTTCTCTCAAAAAGCAGAAGTCAGTTGTGTTTAAACCAGACAGACCTGCACACAACACCAGGGCACAGCCAGGGTACACGGACCCCTCCAAGCAGACATGGGAGCCCTTCAGGACACTGGGCTCCGGGGGCATCAGGTCACTGCAGGCACGATCACACTCACACCCAAGACCTCACAGAAGGTGCATCACCCAGAGGGAAAAGGGAACAACCTCTGAGCCTCGGATCTGTCTTACATCCTCGGGGTCAGGAGAAGGGACAAGTGGAGCAGCACCCACCTCAGAGGGGAGCCGTGCTGCCCTGGGCCTCCCGGACAGGTGTTCGGAGGTGTCCGCTGGTGTCCTGGAGAGGATGGTGCACAGCCCCACACTCGCACCTGCTCTGACCTGCAAAACGCAGGGACGTGGGCCTTGGCCACAAAGTCCTAGCCCCCCGCTCCTTCCCTGTCCTGCTCTCTCTGTGGCCACTGAAAATGATGAAAACTTATCCCCTAAAATTAAAAATTGCTGTAATAATAATTTATGACCTAACAAACAAAAAGTTTCATGTCCTAAGTCATTTTGTTCCACTAGTTTTGTGAAATGAATCTAATAATAATAGCAAGAGATCCGTTATCAAGAATAATACACAGCATGACTTAAACAGTTGTGGAGCAGATGGAAGCTTCTTTCTGAGTCCCGGAAGCATTGCAGATGGCCTTGAAGTTGCCTAGGGAGTCCCTCGGGCTTGGCTCAGAAGAAACAAGCACGTGACCTTGTGCTGGCACTTCCGGGTCCTCGTTCAGTGGCAAGTGGGGTCGGTGGGGTCTGTGCTGAGGGTGGGACAGCAGCCAGAGCCCAGTGTGGCCTGCTTTTAACCAGGCGGCTCTGCTGTGTGATGTCATGAGTGAAGGTGTTAACCCATCGGGATCCAGCTCCGGATTCTCTCACTTAGAGGGATTCAGGAGCCCTGGGGGCCTTGGAGCCTGAGGCGGTGGCCTCAGCGCAGAGCGAGTTGTACTGAGGGACAAGGCAAGCGGTTTTGGCAGGAGCAGCCACTCCAAGTTAGACAGAAAACTTACTTCCTCCTACGGGGCTGTGACGGGCAATGTCTGCCGGACACCACCATCCCCAGTGCCCACTCTGAGCACTAGAGAGCTCCTTGGAGGTGACGACACTGACCCTTAGTGTACAGATGAGACAGCAGGTGCAGAGAGGGGAGGGTATCAGCCTACGTCACAGGCCCATGGATGACAAGGCAGGGTTCAACATAGCACCACGCACTCCTCCAGCCACTAGGCTGGGAGGCTGTCCAGGAAGCAGAATAGGGAACAGTGGGAGTTCTGGGTAACACTGGCAGGGACAGGTGTGCCAGTGGGTGTGCGGGCAGGAGGCTGGGCCGTGGCTGGGCATAGGCAGGACAGGCCAATAACAGCCATACAGCGGCAGCCAGTGAGGGCGGCTGAGCCAGTCTGAGCACTTACGATATGACGATTTCCATGGGGTTTCCTCCCTCCCTCCCTCCTTCCCTCCCTCCTTTCCTTCCTCCCTCCCTTCCTCCCTCCCTTTCCTTCTTCCTTCCTCCCTTCCTTCTCTCTCTCTCTCCTCCTCCCTCTCTTTCTTCCTCCCTCCCTTTCCTTCTTCCTTCCTCACTTCCTCCTTTCTTTCTCCCTTCTTCCTTCTTTCTCTTTCTCACTCTTTCTCTCTCTCTTTCTCACTCTTTCTCTCTCTCTCTCTCCCTCCCTCCTTTCCTTCCTTTCAGCTCAATTAGCCAACATATAGTACATCATTAGTTTTTGATGTGGTGTTCAATGATTCATAGCTGCATATAACATCCAGTGCTCTTCACAGCACGTGTCTCCCTTAATGTCCATTACTCGGCTACCCCAACCCCCCAATCCCCAACCCCCCCCCCTTCTGTAATGCTCAGTTTGCTTCCCGGGGTTCATAGTCTCTCATGGTTCATCTCCCTCTTTGATTTCTCTCCCTTCAGATTTCCCTCCTGTGCCCTATGGTCCTCCATGCTATTCCTTATGTTCCACATGTGAGTAAAACCATATGATAATTGACTCTCTCTGCTTGACTTATTTCACTCAGCATAATCTCTTCCAGTCCCATCCATGTTGTTAACAAAAGTTGGGTGTTCATCCTTTCTGATGGAGGCATAATATTCCATAGTATATGTGGACCACATCTTTTTCCAACATTTGTTGAAGGACATCTAGAGTCCTTCCACAGTTTGGCTATTGTGGACATTTTTGCTATCAACATTGGGGTGCACATGCCCTTTCTTTTCACTACATCTGTATCTTTGGAGTAAATACCCAGTAGTGCAATTGCCGGGTCATAGGGAAGCTCTATTTTTAATTTCTTGAGGAATCTCAACACTGTTCTCCAAAGAGGCTGCACCAACTTGCATTCCCACCAACAGTGTAAGAGGGTTCCCCTTTCTCCACATCCTCTCCAAAACATGTTGTTTCCTGTCTTGTTAATTTTGGCCATTCTAACTGATGTAAGGTGGTATTTCAATGTGGTTTTGCTTTGAATCTCCCTGATGGCTAGTGATGATGAACATTTGTTCCATGTGTCTGATAACCATTTGTATGTCTTCATTGGAGAAGTGTCTGTTCATGTCTTCTGCCCATTTTGTGACATGATTATCTGTTTTGTGTGTGTTGAGTTTGAGGAGTTCTTTATAGATCTTGGATATCAGCCCTTTGTCTGCAGTGTCATTTGCGAATATCTTCTCCCATTCCGTGGGCTGCCTCTTTGTTTTGTTGCTGTTTCCTTTGCTGTGCAGAAGCTTTTGATCTTGATGAAGTCCCAA